CCCCCCCCCCCCCCAGCACGTGAAAATGCTCCATGAGGCTAGCTCTTCCTGGTCTAAGCTGATGTTGCTCTGAGCATTAGACCTAAGAAACAATGTTGTTAGCTAGTGGAAAGCCCATTCCTACTATCCTTCTGCAGAATCCTGGGGTGGTGGCCAACTGAGGTGTGCTCTCATTCTAGGGATTCAACCCCTGCCAGGCAGAGAGGTGCTTAGATCTAAAATAGTGAGTGGTCTGTCATGTTTATCTTGTCCTTTTCAAACCAGGAGGAGGATTAAGGAACATAAATCCTCTGGACTGGAAATTCAGCCAGCAGTTACTTAGAAAATACCACATTCTGGTAGTCCCTGGGCTTTGCCTGTTGGTCTTGCCTTTGAAACAGCAAACAGCTTTCAAGGCATGAAGCTGCATATCTTGATAATGAATGGTCACGGTGCCTGTTAGAACAGGCTGAGTTTTGGGGGCAGGGAGGGTGAGGGAATGAGCTTGGTTTGGCAGAAGAAAGTATGGAATTAGTAAAAATAATAATTATTAAAGCAGTAACTAACTAAAACAAATGTCTTGATCTAAGCAAACAATTGGCCCCTGGCTGATGTGGGGAGCAGATTGCTGTGTTGGGAAAGCAGGGCTGCCAAGCAAGCATTTGGGTGGGGGGAGGAAGGGAATCTGGGTTCACAAGGTCTGTTGTAAACTCCTGGGGCAAAGATGATTTGTTTCTCTGCCTACTACAATCTGGGCACTACTGCACTCTGAATAATAGCAATACTGCCTGGTCAGTTGCCAGCTGGAATGCTTTTCTCAGTGGTTAGGTGGGATAAGTGGAAGATATTAAAATGCTTCGCTCTTTTATTCCCTGCAGTCTCTTCTTTCTTCCACCTCCTCTCCTCCACCCCTCCTGCTTTTCATTCTCTGTCAATTTCAGTCCTGCTGAAGATGAGTCAGATGCAGCGAAGGCAGGCACGGTGCAAGCTACTCGCTGTACACAGCTTGGAGAAAGCATCTCCCACCTAACCTGCAAGCACAGCTGCCATTTCAATTATTGGCCTGTCTTGAACAGAGCCCTATAGAGCAGACTAAGGGCAAGCATAGTGATGGCAAGTGCTGGATTTTCTTCTCCAGGTGACTTTGCCAGTGCATCTCAAACCTGATTAATTTGGAAACGTTGATCTTGGGCTTCTCAGAGTTGTCTGTCAACAACAGTCCTACAGTATGCTTTGGCTTTGGGATGCAGAGGCCTGACCCTGCCATGCCCTGTCCATCATCTAGTGACTTGTATCCATGCGAGCTGGGTGTCAGTACTTCTGTTCTGCTTCACTAGCATTTCATGTCCACTTCACCCTTATTTTGCATTGTTGTGTGTGGCTATTCAGGGTGAAGGGCAAGGGGCAACCTGTCTGTAGGCTGGAAGCACCAAACCCTGTTTCCTTGTGACTTAAACTAGATTTGTAGCCTGTTTGCAGTGCATTGGATTTTTGGATTTCAGTTGTGCCCAGAGCTCTTGATGAGCATCAGGTATCTGCTGCAATAGGCAGGGAGTAAACACATGGGTAAACATAGGCCTTGCACACACAACTCACAATCAGTGAGTGCAGCTAACAATCAAAGGGAAGCAGGGGCAGGAGGCTGAGGTTAGTAATAACAAAACGGCAGGCATGAGGAGAGAGCTCCTGGCTTCACACTACTGCTTCCAGCTTCTCTTGCTTTTGGTGTTCTGTGTAAAACACCAGTGGGGGGGCTCCTGTACAAGCCCACATGGTCTTCATTTTATACAAAGCAAATGACATGTTAATTACACACAAAAAAATCCACTTGCATCCAGTTCAGGTCCAGTTGCATGTATGGTATGAGTTGGATGTCAAACATAATTGAAATTCTGCTGGAGGTTGAAGCAGGATTATATAGCCATTTGTGTTTCTTTGTTTTTCTTTCCTTGGCCAATCTCCAGGTATTAATCAAAGCGCAGTTTTCTCCTGCGAAGCCCACAATGTAAAGGGACTGTCTTCATCCCGGACAGCCACTGTCCAAATTAAAGGTGAGAGAACTGGGTGAAAGAGTGGCTGGGGGAGTTCCATTTTGGGGAGGGGATGAAGGGGTGATGTTGACTTCACGGGCTGTCTTCAAGTTGCCTTAGAGCTGTGCTGGTTACAGCTCTGAGCTAATGAAACAATGCACTGTGCTATAATGGCTTCTCACTGTTTGATATGCAGGCCCATATCCCTGCAGTGAAATTGGCAATTGAAAACAAACCACAGCTGAGTCAGGAATGGAAACATGGTGTAAAATAACAGATTTTCCTTAAAAATGAGAGAGTCAAGGCAGCAGAATCGTTCATTAAAGATATGGCTGGATGTAATCTAAAAGTGTAACAAGAGAAATCTTCCCTTCCCAGAGACAGATGTGTCTTTGGAGCTGGAGAGACCTTTCCCTCCTTTTTGCAATGTACTGGCATCTCATTAGACACTGGAAGGAGAGAGGGAAAGAGATCACTAGGGGCCATTAAAATGCACAGATTGACAATGCTTTTATGGATTTTTGTGTTTGGTACCCTTTAAAATCTCATTTTAAATGAATGATTTCTAGGCCTTCCATAAACAAACATTCCTCTGAGTCCCTGAGCCTTTGTCATGTTCTCCCTTCAGCCAAATAACTGAAACGAGAGAGAGAGATAATCGCATATCTCCTCCCCCCCACACCTTCCTCTGAGGGCATCTTTGTGTTTGACATTTTATTTTTTTAATTGTATGTTAACAACACAATATATAACTTGATTTTTTTAAATTCTGGCCTAGCCACATCATGCACATTTGTTCACAGCTAGGGCTAAATGCAATTGGGAACAAACAGCTGTGTCTAACCAGAATTTACTATCATGCTGGTTAATGTGTTAAAATTTAATAGCCAAGTTTAGACTGACACTTCATGGGTTATGTTTTCCTTTATGGTGACCTCCCTCAATGCAACTGCCTCTTCTGCTGTTATGTATAACATAATTCAAAAACATTTGGTGCTGTCACCCAAAAACCTTGTTTATACATGGAAATTAGCTGTTGCAGAATAGCTCCCCCAGCGGCCACTTTTATTTTGGGATATGAGTGCCTTTTTCCTACTTGGTTTAACTCACAAATCTGTTGCCCTTTTAAATTCATGCTGTATCTTAATCTGAAATATATTTAATGTATAGACAAGCTAAATAAAGAACGGACTCCTTTTTCAGTAAACTGAACATAAAGAAGCAGGCTGACTTCAAGGATAAAAGTTTTCATATATTTTGTAATAATTGCATTTAGTTGATCTTCTCAAACTATTTCACAATCAGACAGCAACACATGAATCTCTCCAGCCCCCCTGGGAGGTGATCGTTTGTAGACACAGGAAGGGAGGCACCAAGAGATTCAGGGGCTCACCAGATGTCACAAAATTTGCTGCACTGCAGGGGAAAGGACCCAAGCTTTCATATTCCCAATCACGTACTGTAGCCTCTTGTATTCCATTCCTCAAAAATATGTTGAAAGGAATAGTTATAAAGTGAGGGAAGCTTGCTTGTTAACAAATGATCCATGCTGCTGATCTGGCTCTGCTCCCATTTAAGTAAAGGGTGAAACTTCTGATGGCTTCAGACAGAGCAGAACGTGTAGGAAATGCATATTTAGGTCTTGATCCAATAGATATGTGTTCTTTCTCTGAAGCATGTGAGTAATCCCATTGACTTTAAAGAAGCTGCTTGTGTAAGGAAAGCTAGGTACGTTTATGGATCAGGTCTTGCTGTTTCACAGATATATGGGGCCTCTGGGTCTCTAATTTATTACTGACTCTTCTTCTATGTCTCCATGGACAAACATTTTTTGATGGGACAATTACAAACTGTTAAAATCTCCTCCCCCTCCTGTTTCATTGTTGTGGTTCGTTATGCACTCCCAGTGATGCCCACAATGTGCTGGATACATTCCAAAAGAAAATTACTATTATTGTAGCTCCCACAGGCACCAATCAAGTTTAAAGACTCATTGTTCTAGGCACTCTAAAACCACACAATAAGAGGGTATGTCTTCACTGTAGTTAACTTATCTTAACATTCAGCTTTTTCTTTTCCCACTGGTGTTGCACTCAGTAATGTGACACTAACATTTCTGGGGTTCTGTCCCATAGTTCTTCATGACACAGTAAATTGAGTCACTGAATTTTTTTTCAGGGATTTTTGGGGAGGACGTTTGTCCCTTTCTGGTCTGAAAGGGGACTGTGGGAAGACTTCGGGTGGGAGGTCTTACTGTGCTTGAGTAGCGCTAGCCTGCATTCATACTATATAGTGAGCATGTTCACAATTGGCAGTCTGTGCTCGCTAGAGCTAGAGCCTGTATCCCTTGATGAACCTGCCGTCTTGAAGCAGTATCTTGCTGGAGTTAAAGATTTTTGCATGTAGCAAGAACTTGAGTTAGAGGCAACATTTGAGTTATAATCTTAGCTCACTTTGCAGTGAAAACAAACCCACAGACATTTATTTCCCCAAGGAGCTTATAGCCTAAATTGTAAAGACAGACAAAAGCTAGGACACAAAAAGTTACTATCTTGTTACATGGAAACCAAGGCACAGCACTTAAGTGATTTATTCATGTAGGAAGTCCATAGAAAGGAGACCTGTGTTCATTTCTCAGCCTAAATACCAACCTAATGTCAACCTCAAAGCCCCTGTTCTGTTAAGAAAGCACAGTTCCTGCCCTGGGACCTCGTAACACTGGTAGGATGATGAAGACTTGCTTAATGCCACCTTCTCTCATAGCCTTCAGTGTAGGAGTTGTACAGATGGACAGGACCTAACTGGAATGTGCTGCAGTCTTAACTATTTTCACCTGAGAAATGACCTCTAGAGAGCAGCTGCAGCCAAGCGTAAGTTAGAGCAGACTTCAGGCTGCTTTTACTAATGTGCATGGTTGAACTGACTTCTGGGAGCACAAAGAACATTGTAGGTATAAAGGTGATTTAAAACTACCTTCCTCCTCTCACCACTGAATGCAGTCCAGGAGAAATGGAGAATCTGGGCTTTAAACTGAAATATATCTCTTGTTCCATGGACTCTCAGGCCTTTGAAACATGACACATTAGACCACTCTTCCATATAAAGGTCAATTCAGAGAGATCGTTGTTTAAGAGAACAAAGTAGAAGATTATTTTAAGGAAGAATCCCTGTCAAGCAGGCATTATAAGTTTCCATTGGCAACAATCAGGGACTATCTCCAAAGGCCTGCTTTGGTTTGGCTTCATTACAGTTCATGGCTTCATTGAGTTTAAGATCCAAGCTCCAAATTTCCTGTATGTGCATATCTGCTCAGTTCTGTGTGTATTAAAGAGTTTTCCCCTTCCTCCCTGCTTTTCTTGTAGCAATGCCTCTCCCACCTATCAATGTGACGGTAACCCAAGTCACCAGTTACAATGCCAGCATTACGTGGGTTCCAGGATTTGATGGTCGCTCTCCCCTTCACTCTTGTACTGTTCAGGTATGGCCTTCGAGACTCCCTGCCCTGTATGAACAGTGGGATTTCTCTGATCTGTCTCATTGCTAGGCCTTCTCTCAGATATTTGTAGGCCTTAATTTTACAATGTGGGAGCCTAAAGGAGAGAACTGAAGTTCCATTTAGACACCTAGAGAAGTACCCGATTTTTCAGGGATGATGATAGCTCTAGTTGAGCTGAGCGAAATATCTGTGTGCTCAATACCTCTGAAAATCAGACTGTGTCTTTAGTAACCTAATTAAAACTCCAGGTGCTTAACTTCAGGCAAAATATAACCTTAGACCTCTGCTACACTTTACATATATTACACTGTTAACTGGTTAATCGCGCAATAAATTTAGACCAGCCATACGTGCACAGATTTTATTACACCATAAAAATGACTATCCAGCCATAAAAGCCAACCAGCTACAAAATTAGTGCTTGAAAATGTGCCAGAACTGTAGCTGGTTTCTATCCAGCTTTAACTTGAACGTTAGGGCTGTGCAAAGCTTCGGTATTTGATTAAATTCAGAGGAGATTTGGCCCAATTCAGTGGTCAAATCTCTGAATCTGAATCAAATCGGGAGACCCATTAAAAGGTCTGAATCAAATTGGAAGTCTCCAGATTGATTCGGAGAGATTTGCAGATTCGGAAGGCTTGCAGCAAACAGAACCTGAGAAGAGGGAGGGGGATGGGGTGATCTTCCTTATATGGAAAAGGCACAGCTTGAGGTTCACTTTCACAGAAAACCCTGCACCTATCTTGAAACTTGGCATGCTTCATGCCCTCAGAAGGGGCTACCATCCCTGCTGTTTTCATCCGAATCTGCAAAGAAATGACAGTTATAGGTATTTTAGTGACTCTCCATTATAGTCTATGGCTGAACCTCCGAATATGAATCGGCCAAATTAAATTGGGACAGTGATTCGAATCACAGAATCAAATCACTGTCCCTCCGAGTCAGCTAAATCCAAAGTGAAGACTTGCTGTTTTGCACAGGCCTATTGAACATGTCGCAGGGCCCCTAGTGTTACATGCTTTGTTTGGAAGCTGGATCACAGAGTTAGTGACAGTGAGCCAAGCAGAGTGAAGCAATGATTCCTACAACAGACCAGGCCTGTGCAACTAGACGTGGTCTTTCACTGAGTGGTTTGTAACAACTTTGAATGTTGGGCAGTGTTCACACACGGGCCCCTTGGCTCCCCTCCCTGATTACAGCATTGAGGTGAGCTTCAGGGGATCCCCTTTGTGATGCTGACAGCTGGTACTGGAGGAGAGAGGGGTGATTAGAAGCACAATGATGAACCAAAGCACCAGTGCAGCACAAGCTAACCTGCTTTCTCTTGGGGAGAGGGATGGGAAGGAGGAGAGCTCATGCTCTGATGTTTATTTCCCAAATAAAAGCAAGCATTGTCTTGTGAGGTTTATTTTAACCCCCTGGTGGAAGGGAGTATCAGGATACAGTTGATCATTCTCATCTTGGGCAGTGTTTTGTGTTGGCTGCTGTTCTTGTTTATGAACCAAAATGAATTTCTTCCTCCACTCACAGTGCTGAGTTGGCCCCAGTTGGTACAGCCTATTCTTCCTGGCTTGCATGCTCATCAGCCTCAACAATGCTAATCTCTCTGGGTTGTGAGCTCCTCCTCTCCGTTTTGGAGTGGGAGAGCTAGAGAGAGCGCAGAATCAAAGCAGCTCAGATTCCATCCACTCAGCAGTCTCTAGCTGCTTTTCTAAGCCTTGCAGACCGTTCTCTCCGTGCTGGGAGAATGGAGTCCCCGTGCTTGAATCTTGGATCAGATGAACTCAACAATAAGACTCCATTTACAGAAAAGTGCTAGACCAAGGGAGCTGAGCTTCCTGCTGTGGTTTTGGCACCAGAAATATTATGTTTCATCCTTCCCTGTCTCCCTGTCCCCGTGGCTCTGATTCTTGTAAGAGCCATTGACCCACATTTCCATGTGAAAATGCAGTCTCTGGCCCCCAGTGAGTGAATGGTTGTACTTCTACTAGGAGGGGTACAGAAGGATGGAGTTGTTGGTTCTTGTTTGTTTGGCATGTTATGGGTCAATGCACCATTGGCTCAGACAGGGGGCTGCTCACATGAAGAGGCTAAAATGTTGCTCATCTCATTCCTTTCAGCACTGGAAGTATTCAGAGGGTGGGGGTGGGGAATGAATGTAGGTTCTTTGCCTCCCCTCGGGAAGTAGAAGAGAAGCCTAACCAGAATGGCAGAACTGTACAGTAAAACAAAGTGATAGTTTCCACCTGGGTTAGGATGACACTGATTGACAATAAGAGCAATGTGTTTGTCTATTATAGACTGTACACAAGTCAAGATTCCTTTGTTTTAGTAGCTAAGCAAATTTATAGTCCGAAGTGTGTGTGTGTGTGTGTGTGTGTGTGTGTTGGGATGGGGAGCAGTTGTTAATGAAAATAAAGTTAGCAAATACAGTTTCACCTTTATCAGAATGTCTAGGTTCTGTTCCCATCTTTTTAAATTGTTTTGACCCTGGGAGCTACCCAGTGGATTCCTCTAGGGGTGCACTGATAAAGATTTTTTTTGAGCAATACCGGTGGCCAATTATTAACCAGCCATATCAGCCAATACTGATCCAGTAAGCAACATGCAGCATAGTGGCCTTAAGAACAGCATCCAGCTGGTAAGTCTGTGGTGGGGAAGGGGCATGCGGGGGCATGTCAAGGCCCCCCACAGTGAGGGAGAGAGAGGGGCAGTGGCAGGGGCAGGCACTGCCCAGCCAGTGTAGGTCATGGGATGGAGCCGCGGGCGGCTTGTCCTGGTAGTTGGAGAGAGGGGGTGGCTCCCTGCTGCTGTGCACAGCCATGGGGGAGGCATGGGGGCATGTGCCCCCCAGATTTGTACACGGGACAAGGGCAGGCTGCCCACTGTGGGCTCAGAGCCAGGGACTGTGTCAGCCTCTTCCTGGTGGGGGGGAGCTGGGCTGGGGCTGCATTTGCAGTGGGCAGAGGTGGGGAGGGCAGCAGCAGCGTTGGGAGGGGGAGCTACAGGGAATTTTGGGGTGACTAGCCCCTGCTCCCAGCATTGCTGCTGCTACCCACCCTGAGTGCAGCTCTAGCCCAGCCCCCAACCAGGAAGAGGCTGGTGCAGCCCCTGGCTCCAAGCCCACAATGGGCACCCCACCCTCACCCTGCGCATGAATCTGGGGGCATGTGTCCCCCTCTCCCCCAGATGAGCTGCCTGCATCTGTGTCCCATGCCCCGGCCCCACCCCAGCTCCCTTCCTCCTGTGGGGCCTTGATTTGCCCCTTCCCTGCTACAGACTTACTGGCTGGACTCTGCTCTCCAAGCTGCTAGGCTGCATTCCTGGCTGTGTGCATGCTGCCATTGTGCACACGCACACAGCGTTTATCAGTGACACTATCAGCTACATTGGCCAAAAAAAGCCAATTTCAGATGCTGTAAATTTTCCTTTTAACTGTGCCAATCAAATATGGACCGATATATTGGTGCACCTCTAGATTCTTGCTATCGTCAGGTCGGAAGAGAGGCTGTGTTTGCTTAGGAAAGGGACACTGTCAGATGAAATCTAAACCAAAATTCAGGTTTTGTACAAATGCATGTTTTAAAAAAGTGTGACCAATGGAAACGATGCCAAGTTTCTTTTTCTTTTTAATTCTAGTCAAGAGAGTTGCACAATTAAAGCAGACACCTGCCTCTGAGATGTTTGCAATCTGCCCCCCAGTGGCATTATGCTAGATAAGAGGTTTCAAACTTTTTCTTATTGCATACCCCCTTCCAGATTTACCAGCTTCCTATGGACCCCTACCAGCATACATTTTATATTTTAACCCCTTAAATGCCAATTATTATTATGAAAATTAAACCCTCCATTATGCAATTTCTCCTGCATATCCCCCAGAGATGTATTGCATACCCCCAGGGGTACATGTACCACAGTTTGGGAATCGTTGTGCTAGATCAAGAAATCTTGAAGGTGGGGTATTGATTAGGAACTGACAATAGCCAGAAGTGAAGCTGATCTGTTTTCATTATCTTAACTTTCTTCATTTATCTGAGCTAATGGATAGAATTCATGGCATCAAGAAAATTTAAGATTTGTATAATTCTTTGTACTGCTAGCAATCTAATGCGTTTGTAATATAGCCTCCAGACTTTAGAATATTTTACCTATGTTCTCAGCTGGTGTAAAATAATTGTAGTAGCATTGGAGTCAATGAAACTCTGCCATATTAAATTAAATAAGGACATGGCTCATGAATTTAAATTTGGCAGTGTTCCTTTTAAATATACTGTGCTGCTGATTCAGCATCTGTTGCTGCCAGATCCTAAATAGGATCAGATATTGACCATTTGTGTAAATTGCACCCTCTTCTATTACACAGACTGGCTTGTCACACTGGTTATCCTAATATACATCTACTTGCTTTCCCTCTTGAAACAGGTGGCAGAGTCCCATGATGATCAAGACATCTCAACAGAAGTAATTCCTGTCCCTTCATTTGCCTACGGTTTACAAGGATTACAGCATTCCACCAATTACAGTGTTCGTGTACTGTGCACCAATGAAATGGGCAGCTCCCCTTTCACAGACTGGGTTTATTTTCAGACTCTGGGGTTGGGTAAGCAAATATCAGGAAAAGCAAAAATTATAGTTTTACTGTATAACAAATTGGTCCTGAAAGCTCAGAAAGAACCATTAGCACTCTTCACTGAACACCTTGTTAATTCAGAAATGCAAGGAACCTATAAATTATTAGTTTGCTTGCTGCATTGAAGGTCTCCTACCATCTTGCTCTCATTTGTCTTGAGGGACATGTCTTCATGGGATCACTGCTGAAAGAACAGCCCTTCTCATTTCTCGCATCTGCTCCAGTGCACTAAGGATTGGCTGCTAGGCAGCTCAGGGCCAAGCCCAGGTTCTCTGTATTGGGAGAGCCAGAGTGCAGGCCTGGAGTGCTTGGGGCTGCTTCAGAGCTCTTGAGGCCACTCCTGAACCACCTGCCCTACCTTCTGCTATTCACTAGTGCACCAGAAGGGGGGAGAAAGGTGGGTGGAGCTTATTTTCTCAGCTATGGTGCAAGCGTTTGTGGGTTAGCTGTACAGACATACCCAAAGTGAATCATGCTATTGTCAGAAAAGTGACTGTAAAGTGATGTCTTGGCGGTTCCGACTTAAACTCATTCAGTAATTTGTTTACAGATCAAATTTGCTCAATGTGCAAGTCAAGCAGTAAAAGTTATAAACTCCAAAATCACCCTTGTGACTCATTTTTGGTGTCATTTTGTTGACTTAAACGGAGTGATATCAGGGATGAATTTGGCACATTTGTTCTTCCTCTTGCATCATCTCTGGGAGGAAAAAACCTGCTGCTGGAATATGGCTGACACCACTAATGATACATTACACGGAATAGAATCTGATTCACTCTTCAATAATTGCATTCGCCTGGTAGGCCTAACAGACATACTGACTTTTTTGAAGGTCTTTTATGGTAGTGGAAAATGTAAGGGGCCCCCAAAGTTAGTTTATTGGACTTCCGTATGAATGGACCTGGGCCTCGGTGTTTTCACGAGATCTGTGTGGGTCTTGCAAATGAGTAGAGCTATTTAAAGGATTTCATAGACATCAGGGCTGGAAGGGACCTTGGAAGATCATTGAGTCCAGCCCCCTGCCACAGGGGCAGGAAGTCAGCTGGGGTCATAAGATCCCGGCAAGATAAATTTCTCTTGAAGGTGTTCAGTGTGGGTGCTTGAACCAGCCCCGATGGCAGGATATTCCAGACCTTGGGGGCTCAGACAGTAAAGAAATTCTACCTTATGTCCAGCCTGAAACGGTCTTGCTGGAGTTTATAACTGTTCAACCTTGTCATCCCTTGGAGTGCTCTGGTGAACAATTGTTCCCCCAGATCCTGGTGAATATCCCTGGTAAGCTTATAGGTGGCCACCAGATCACCCCAAGCCTGCGCTTTTCCAGGCTGAAGAGTTCCACAGCTCTCAGCCTGTCATCATAAGGGGTTTTTCTGACCTCTGATCATGCATGTGTCTCTTCTCTAGACTCTCTCAAGCTTCTCCACATCCTTTTTGAATTGTGGAGCCCAAAACTGGACTCAGTACTCCAGCTGCAGCCTCACCAAGGCTGAGTACAACAAGAAAATGATGTCCTGGGATTTACTTAAGAAGCATCTATGGATGCAAGCCAGTGTTTTGCTCACTTTACTAGCTGCAGCATCACATTGAAGGCTCATGTTCATTTTGGGGTCAATCATGACCCCCTTTCATCTGTAGTGCTAACCAGTGTAGCACTGCCGAGCCTATAAGGACGCTGCAGGTTTTTCCTCCCAAGGTGGAGAACGTTGCATTTTTCAGTGTTAAACACCATCAGGTTCTCATCTGCTCATTTCCTGAGCCTGTTGAGGTCAGCCTGGATCACCCTCCTGTCCTCAGGTGTGGATGCTTTACCCCAGAGTTTGGTATCGTCAGCGAGCTTGGCCAGTCCGCTTCTGACACCAGTGTCCACATCATTAATGAAGATGTTGAACAATACAGGTCCAAGGACAGAGCCTTGTGGGACCCCACTGGTCACAGGACACCATGATGATTGACTTCCATCAACCACCACCCTCTGGGTCCGACCATGGAGCCAATTTCCCAGCCAGCGGATTGTTGTGGACCCGAGGCCGTAGTTGGCCAGTTTTGCCAAGGGGTGATCATGGGATGCTAGATCGAAGGCTCTTTTGAAGTCAAGATATATGACATCAATCTCCTCTCCCTTGTCCAGGTGATAGGTCACCTGGTCATAGAAGGAAATGAGATTGGTCAAGCAAGATCTACCCACAACAAACCCATCCTGGGTATCCCTCAGGATATTGCTGTCAGCTAGTCTGTTGAGGATGGCCTCCTTGATAATCTTTTTCCAAGACCTTGCCCAGGATAGAGGTCAGGCTGATGGGCCTGTAGCTTGCTGGATCCACTCTCCTCCCTTTCCTGAAGATAGGCTCCACATTGGCCTTCTTCCAGTCTTCGGGCACTACACCAAGAGTGCCAGAAGTTCTCGAAGATCCATGCCAGAGGCTCGGCTATGATGCTAGCCAGCTCCCTGAGTACCCTGGGGTGTAGATTGTCAGGGCCAGCTGACTTGAAGGTGTCCAGCCTCTCAAGGTGTTCCTTCATGAGGTCAGCATTGATGGAGGGCAGGGAATCTCCCTCCCCAGGGCCTCCCTGTCCAGTAATGGGCATGGGTGTCCTGTGGAACTGACGAAAGACCGATGCAAAGTACCCATTTAATAGGTTGGCTTTTTCTTGGGTGTCAGGTGTCCCATCTGGTTTTGCAGGGGTCCAATGTTGCCCTTGCTTTTCGCCAGCTCCCCACATATCTAAAAAAGGACTTTTTATTGTCCTTGATACTTGTAGCTAGTTGGAGTTCCATCGCAGCCTTGGCTTTCCTGGTTCACTCCCTGCAGGTCCAGACCAGTGCAGAGTATTCCTCCATGGAGTTGGATCCAGTTCTCCATCCTTTGTAGGTCTTTCTTTTTTTAGACACAGTAGGTCTGCTAGTTCCCTGCAGAGCCAAGGGGGCTGCTGAGCCCTTTTGCTGCCTTTCCTCTGAGACAGAATAGCCTGAGCTTGTGCATCGAGGATCGCTCCCTTGAGGAACCATGCTTCCTGAACTCCCCTTCCCTTAGGGTTGTGGTCCTTTAGGGCCTCACCAACAGACCTCCTGAGCTTGTCAAAGTCAGCTTTCCTAAAGTCAAGGACTTCTGTATTGCTGGCTGACTTGCCAGCTTTATGGCGGATGATGAAGATGATCAGTTCGTGGTCACTGTCACCCAGCGTCCCATCTATTGTTAGGTCGCTGATTAGGTCGTCCCCAGTTGGCAGTACCAGATCAAGCAGCGCTTTACCTTTCGTTGGCCTGTAGACTTCTTGAGTCAGATAGAGGTCATCCACGCATGAAAGGAACTTTGGGTGGGAGGTCTGTAGTAGACTCTCACCATTGTGTCCCCTGAGTCGTGTTCCCCACTGATTTTAACCCAGAGGGGCTCCAGCCATCCACCCTGGGCACCAATTTTGGCTTGCAGGGACATGGAGCTCTCCTTGACATAGAGAGCTACACCTCCACCCCTTTTGTCTACTCGATCTCTCCTGTATAGGGTATAGCCATCTATACCCGTGGCCCAGTCATGGGTGGAGTCCCACCAGGTCTCCATTAACCCTATGACCTTGTAATTATTTGTGTTAAGCAGGAGGACAAGTTCCTCCTGCTTATTCCCCATGCTCCTGGCATTTGTGTACAGGCAGGCAAGTGTCCCCTTGGGAGCCCTTGCCTTGCCCACAGATTGGGACAAGGGTGGGCTCCCTTAAGTCCCTAGGCCCGCTAGCTTTGCAAGAGTTGCTCTGGTGGCCATCAGTGGCAGTAGTCTCCTCTTCCCCCTGCAGGCTTAGTTTAAAGCCCAGTGGAGCAGGTCAGCCAGTCTGGCTGAGAAGAGCCTCTTCCCCAGTGGAGAGAGGTGGAGGCCGTCCCTTCCCAGCAGCTTGCTGCCTCTCTCACCAAAGAGCAGGCTGTGGTCATGGAAGCTGAAGCCTTCCCAATAACACCAGTGCCGCAGTCTTTAGTTCACTACCTGGATCCTCCTCTGCCTCCTCAACCCATAGCCCAAGACTGGGAGGATCAAAGAAAACACCACCTGCACCCCCAGGCCCTTTAGCCCCGCTCCCAAATCCTTGTAGCACCTCATGACCTGGCTGGGAGCGCTCCGAGCTGTGTCATTGGTGCCCACGTGGATGAGGAGCATGGGATAGTGGTCAGTGGGCTGGAGGAGTTTAGGGATCTTCTCTGCAATATCTCGGATGCGGGCTCCTGGAAGCAGCAGACTTCCTGGGATAAGGAGTCGGAGCGGCAGATTGCCCCCTCAGTCCCCCTCAGGCTGTAGTCTCCCACGACAAACACTTTGTGTTTTGTCACAGTAGAGCCTGTGTTGCCTGTGGGATGGTGAGTTCACCCTCTGCTTCCTCTGTAGGAGTGAGCGGCAGGAGCAAATGTCAGCTTGCCCAGTGGAAGAACTAGAAACAAACCCTCTTGCACCCTAGACTCACCTCTTGTATGTTTCCATGGAAGGGGTGATCTGGGCATATGAGTATACTGTTGAGTATACGGCTCAATACAGTATGAATATGAGTCAGCAGTGTGATGCTGTAGCCAGTAGGCCAAATAATACTCTGATACGCATCAATCAGTGCATCTCCAGCAAAGCCAAGGAGGTGATTCTTCCACTGTACTCAGCACGGGTGAGAGTACAGCTGGAGTACTGCGTCCAGTTCTGGGCGCCACACTTTAACAAGGACATGGACAAGCTTGAGAGAGTCCAAAGAAGAGCCACCCATATGATCTGAGTCTTACACAGCAAGTCATATTAGGAAAGGCTGAGGGATCTGGGACTCTTCAGTCTGAAGAAAAGAAGGCTGAGAGGGGACCTGGTAGCAGCTTACCATTACACTGGGGGAGTACATCAAGGGGTCGGTGAGCAGCTGTTCACCAGGGCACCCGAGGGGAAAACTAGGAGTAATGGCCACAAACTCCTGGAAGACCATTTCAGGTTCAATATCAGGAAAAACTTCTTCAG